GAGTTGTGAAGCATGTTCCGAAAGAAAGGGCCTGCTCTTCTTGATGTTGAATAAAGCAAATCTGCAGGACCGGACAGTTTTTTGCAATGTGGTCTGAGAAAGTCAGCTAATCATCAATCATAACTCCAAGGTTTCTGGCTGTTTTTGAAGGAGTTATGGTTGATGTGCCTAACTGGATGGTGAAATTGTGATGAAACTATGGGTTTGCTGGAACCACAAGCAGTTCTGTCTTGGCAAGGTTGAGTTGAAGGTGATGGTCCTTCATCCAGCAAGAAATGTCTGTTACACAAGCTGATATGCGAGCAGCTATCTTCGGATCATCAGGATGGAATGAGAGGTAGAGATGAGTGTCATCAGCATAGCAGTGATATGAAAAGCCATGTTTCTGAATGACAGAACCTAATGATGCCATGTAGACAGAGAAGAGAAGTGGTCCAAGAATTGATCCCTGAGGCACCCTAGTAGTTAGATGTGGTGACTTGGACACCTCACCAAAAGCAGCGGACAGATCCAGCAAGATAAGTATTGAAGATTTGGAATCCACTCTTGCCAGTCTTAGGGCTTCAACATTAACAGTTAACTGTTGATGTTAAGTCAACATTAACTTATTAACAGTGACTTGCTGACACCTACTGGCAGTTTTAATTTCACATTTAAAGTATATTTTCATTTTTTTTTTAAATCATTTCAAATATCTGTATTCAACGTTTTATGTTTAAAATATCAAAACAGTATTAATGCATTTGTAACTGCAGGTTAAAACATTAATATCCTGCATTAAACAGTGTGTAAATGCATCTAAATGCCCCTTCTAATGCAGCTTCTGTGTTTTCTCTGCATTGCGAATATTAATTTTGTCAATACTGATTTAATTTGCTTGGTAACAGCCCAAATGACTTATTATTCTAATTGACTGATTCAATTTAAGAATTTGACTGAAAAGATGATGCACACTTTAGAAATGGCTTTATACAGGTACAAATATCCATAAAAGGTAAAAATCAATTTAAACTTATTTTATCACTGCTGTGAACTGATCACCACACAGAATATGCAGAATATCAAAAACGTTAGGAGTCAGCTGTCCATGGTAGTCCTTAAGATATCAGCACAATAACACACTCAGGAAAATATAATCTAATTATCGTTATCGATAAAATCCCAGAAAATATTGAGATATATTTTTTGTCAATATCGCACACCCCTAATATATTTAAAGTTTTGATTAGAAAAAAATGTAAATAAATATGAGAAGTGCCCTTTTTTTCCACTTGAGCTCCTGCCCCTCAAAATGTTTGTGCACGTCCCTGGTTAGCACAATTATTCCTGCTATTTGAAATCCTACCTTTATTTGTCAAGAGCACACCTCCCTTAAAATGTCTATGGAGGCAGCTCATTAGGTTTTTGGAACAGAGTGATTGTATTTTCTTTATGAGAATAGGACGTTTTGGAAAAAGAACGTTCATTTCATGGATGTCTTGTGGCCTGACAGCACAAGTGCGAAAATGCTGAAACTGTGAAGGCATTTCTCACCATTACTCTTCCTCGTCTCCTCCTTCGTGAGTTTCTGCTGCACTGTGGCTTTTTGCACACTCGAGCCCTTTCCCGAGACCTCTTTCACTGATTCGCTGCTGATGACGGAACCATCCTCACTCGGCAACCTACTGCAAGTAACCATAGCAACAAGGAGCAGCGGTGAGTCGGTGCATGTGTGAAATGAGAGGACGGTTATGTCATTTTCTTTGTCTGCATTATCATCTCAAACACATACATATAAATGCAAGGACACACAATCAAACAGATACACACATTTACTTGTACCAAATCACTGTGGTGCTTGGATTTGATTGTGAACATTTTATTAGTCCATTCAGACATTCTAGAATAGTTAATCATGGCTTTAAAAATGGCTTTCTGAAACACAGATAAAATACAGATTACTAAATCCTGGACTATGGAGCCATTAACTAAAATAAATTAGATTAATTTAAAACTAGCTGTGCTAATCTGAATTAGCATGACAAAGGTTGTCTATAAAACATGGAATGAACCAAGAAGCAGCAAGCAAATCTAAGGAAAACATTGGCAGCAGAAAAAGGACTGCAATCAAACATAATAAAAAAAAACTTTACTGAACAAGAGGAAACTTTTTAAAGCAAGCAAAATAAACTGCACACATCAGGTGTGGAATAAAGGAAAAGCATTGCCTGGAAATATGTTCTTGCAATCAGTGACAGTGAGAGAGAGATTCCCTACAATGTGTTTTACTTCAGAGTGTGTGTTGTGTGTGTGTGTGTGTGTGTGTGTGTGTGTGTGTGTGTGCGTGCGTGCGTGCGTGTCAAAATGATTAAAAATGATTAACAGTGCAGATTTATTTTCTGTTAATCTGGTTTAAAGGGTCATTTTAGTTTAGGACTAGGCTTAATCTCTGTCAGGGAAACCGCCCCATTGTATGAAACATATTGAGGAAATTCTATAGAGAGGGGGAAAAAATATATGCAAATATATATATATGCAGTTTTGGATGTATTGTATGCTATTATTGCTGTCGGATTCCCACATTGTTAGTTATTATTTAATATATACTGGTGTGTGTGTGTGTGTGTGTTGTGATACAAATTAATGTATAATATGTTTGTGCAAATAGCTGTGTAATCAGTACGGTCACTCTGAATTCAGCAACCCTCTTATTGCTGTGAGCATATGCTTATTCTTCTTTCTGAAGATAAATCTGTCCTTCTCTTTGTTTATGCTTCCCTCACTCTCTGTCTTCTTACATAACTTTATGATGATTTAGTATTTCCAAAAATCCTGACTATTCAAGTCGGTGAAAGAGCTACTAAATTGAGTCCTTCTATGACATGTACACTTCTGGTCAAAAGTTGGAGATAATTAGAAATGTTTTAATGTTTTTGAAAGAAGTCTCTTATACAAATCAAAACTGAAATTATGTGATCAAAAGTAAAAAAAAAAATGTTACATGCTTTTTTTTTTTTACAGTAAGAACATAATATTGTGAAAACATAATATTACCCCAAAATATGAAGCAGCAAAAACCTAATTAGTTAATAATAAGAAGAAATATTTCCTTAACACCAAATTTGCATATTAGAACGATTTCTGAAGGATCATATGACACTGAAAAGTAATGGCTGCTGAAAATTCAGCTTTGCCATCACATGAATAAGTAACATTTCAAATATGTTCAAATCAAAAACAGTTCTTTTGTATGCACCCTTGTTGAGCATAAGCAACTTGTTTCAAAAATATTAAAACAAAAATCTTATTATCCAAACTTTTTATCAGTAGTGTAGTTCATGATTTACATATATAATTCAGCTGAACCTGAGTGGAATGCATTTCTCCAGAAATTATATCAACTTTTTCAGAGATAAATGGTCTAAATCAAGAACATATCCACTTAAGTCAAACAGTTTGACAGTTTGAAGCGAGATCCATTTATATCACACTCCTCCATGAAACTAACTGAAAGCTACAGTATGCTCATCCAACCATATGAAAATCATTAAGTCAGTCACCTTAACTATCAGACAGACTTTTAAGAGGCCAGTGATCTCATTAACACAGTGTTAAGATCATACTGACATACTGAGCATTGATTTTATTTAAAAAGCAATTATCAAACAAGTCTCTGTCACTATATCCATTATCTCACCCTCTCTTGAACACTATTTAGCGTCTCTAGCTTATGTCTTCCATGACAAGTAGTTTTGTGGGCCTGTGCCAAATAACAGCAAATGACAGCATTACTGTTAGGGCTGTGACATGAATACTGAGTATTTACAGCATTCCATAAGTGTTAGGTTTCTTCACACATACCTTTTCCTTATCTCACTGTTCAGGTTCTTCTTGGAAGTGGATCCATCTTGGCGTGCAGGCTTATCTAGGGACAGAGGGGCATCTCGAATGGGGTGGGGCAGAATCATAGTCTCCTGGGTAACCGAGAGGGTCTCCTCATCACCACCCTGCTGACCCAGGTGTTGCTTGGCATAGTCAAACCCCTGAACAGGCTAAGCAATGAGCAAACATTCACATATTTGATTACAGATATGAAGGTTATTCTTATACACTGTACACATTAAAAAATGGTAACATCTAAATTAACTGGTCAAAAATATTTAAATAAATGGGGTTGCATCAGGTACAGACAGCTCTTTATAGTAAGCAACTTTTTGCAGGTTACCACTTTTTACAGTGCATAATGGGGTTTCCATAAAACATCAATTTGAGACAGATAAAGTTTTGTTTTGTTTTGTGTTTTGCTACCAAACCAATGATCTGGTTGTACATTCCTTTGGACAAATGTTTTGACTATATATTTCATGAAACGTATATGTGCTGTCAGAAACATGACTGCTCCATTCAAATAAAAATTGTTAGGATCCTGTGAACATTAATGGTTTCAAGTGCAATAAATACGTCACTAAAAATGTGGTTTATGTGGTAACATCTGAATTATTCAAATTTTATTAAAATCAAGAATTCATTTTGTATGACTGAAACAATATGACTGCATTAGATTAGATCAAGGAAAGTTCAAAAGTTCACATGTTAATATAATCCTTAGATCTAATGAAGGTAAACATATTTGGCAATGGAGGGAGATGAGATGAGAGATTGAAGATGAGACTTCTGATTAATTAAGTAGTCTTGGGGAATTTAGTGGATATTAATGAATTTATTTAAAGATACAAATTAGAAATTGAGGATGCTTTCACATACAGTGGGAATAGAAAAGAATCACCCCCCTTTAAAATAATCACATTTTGTTGCTTTGCAGCCTGAAATGAAGACGGACACACTTTTGTTTTATCTAGCTATATTTACTCAGTGAAACTTATAACATCCAAGTGAATATATAACACCAACATGTCAGAATAAAATAAAAATAAAAAAACAGAATCACTGAGTTGGAAAAAGGATCACTCCCCCTCCTAAAAATGACTCAATCAGGTGTAGCTAATCACCTTCTCAATGGCACACAAAGCCATTTGACTTTCAACTGTGATCAGCTGTGGTCATTCTGATTAGCTCAGCATGGAAAGAGCTTTACTGAAGCATTTCAGGCCTTGGTAGCGCAACTGAAGCAAACAATCAACTATGGGTGGCAAGGCACTGTAGAAAGATCTCCTGGATAAAGTTGTGGAGAGGCACATGTCAGGAGATACAAACATTTTTTCAAGGGTTTTATCAATGCCTGTAAGCACAGTGAAGTCTTTTATTAAGAAGTGGAAGGTATTTGGTGCAACACAGTGTCATGACTCTCTGTAATAAAAGAAATGCAATTAGATGCTCCGACAAAACTTTTATTATAGAAGGTAAACTGGAGATGAGCCGCCAAACCCTGGATCAGCAGGACAATAGTGAGGATGATCAATATCCAGACAAGGACCAGGAAACGAGAGAACAGTCCGACCAGCAAACAAAGTCCAAGAAAGCCACAGCACGTAATCTGTTGAGCGGAGATCAAACACCAGGTGAGCGGCTGCACAATGGAGAGTAACACATCAAAGTCAGGGACAGGCGAGGCTCAATTACCATGTTCCCTCTAAACAACAAGGTCACAGTCCAAAGCGAGAGGAGGGCAAGCCGCTGGCCAGTAAGTGCAGACAGACCGGGCAGAAACAGAATTAACTAAAAAAAAAAATAAATAAATAAATACTCATGACTAAAAGAAAATCAAAGCAAAAGGTGCGAGTGAAGCATAAGTAATAAAATACATTGGCAAAGAAAAGAGTAAAAACAAGAGACTTAAGTAATAAGAAAATTAATAAGAAAATGACAAACAGCTGCGAGAGCGTGCAAGACCGCATTGATTGTGAAACGCAATCAGCTGAGTGTGGCTAGCACATGCAGACAAAAACAAAGCCTAATGCAGGAGAGAAGAGAGATCGATCAAACCTGAGCCCTGACAGACAGACCCTCCCTGGATCAGGACATCACTCCAAACTGGATGAAGGAGCCAGGAGGAAACTGGTCAGAAAGGCCTACAGCAACTCTGAAGCAGCTGCAGGAATTTATGACAAAGAGAGGTCATTGTGTGCATGTGACAACGATATCTCCACAATTCTCCACAAATGTGGCTTGTATAGGAGGGTTGCAAGAAACAAGCCACTCCTCAAGAAAGGCCACAGGCAGTCGCGACTGAGCTTTGCCAAAATGCACCTTGAAGATTCTGAGGCAGATGAGACTAAATTATTTAAGACTTATATGAGAAGACTTATATGAGACTTTAATTATTTGGCCTCAACACCAAACTATATATCTGGCGTAAATCCAATATAGCTCACCATCCAAATAACACCATTCCTACAGTAAAGTATGGAGGTGGTAATCTCCTGTTATGGCTGTTTCTATGCAGCAGAGACTGAAGCAATTGTCAGTATAGAAGGAAAAATGGATGGGGCAAAATACCATCAAATTATTGAGGGAAATATGCTGCCCTCTGCCAGAACGTTGTCAACGGGAAGAAGGTTTACCTTCCAACATGACAATGACCCAAAGCACACAGCAAAACTGAGCACACAGTGGTTGAAGGAGAAAAAGTTAAATGTCCTTGCATGGCCTAGTCAGAGCCCAGACTTAAACCTAGGGATGGGTATCGTTAAGGTTTTAACGAACGAATGCGCACCGCTGTGAAGGGAAAGAAGTTGCGCAAGACGAAACCCAGCTAGTTTTTAATAGCTTTACCTCATGTCTTCTTTTGTATAATCCTTAGAAGCCAAAATCGTATAATAAATTAAACTAATATTATTATTAATAATAAAACAGCCACAGGCCTAAAGTGTAAGCAGATGTTTGAATGTTTAGTTCTCTCTTCTATCATAATTAAACAGGGCTTTCATGTTGCGCGTGCTGAAGCTCCTCCGCGTGGGCGCGATCTCGCTTCTGAATTGCGAATAGCAAAAATCCATCATAGACAAATGTTTGAAAAACAGCTGGCGACTCTGGTGAGATAGAATTAGCAAGATAATGTGTATATATAGCAATAATAAATGTAAGTGTGTTTTATTAACTTCTCCAGCACCGATAGCAGAACCGTTAACGTCAGAGCTTATCGATACTCCGGTCTTTCATAATTTAGCCCCAGGACCGATTAAATACCGGGTTTCGGTACCCATCCCTACTTAAACCCCATTAAAAATCTGTGGAATAACTTGAAGACTGCAGTCCACAAACTGTCACCATCAAATTTAACTGAACTTGAGCAGTTCTGCAAAGAAGAGTGGGCAAATATTGCAAAGTCTAAAAGTGTAAAGTTAGTAGAGACATATACCAACAGACTAAAGGTGATGATACACAGGGCAACTTTTTTGAGCAATGTTGCTTGGGCACTTTACCATTGAGAATGGGCAACAAACTTCTATCTGGATACGTTAGATTGGTGTGGGCCCTGTGTCTCACCTGGTTGCCCATTGACAGCAACATTTCCCAGCAACACTGCTCAAAAAGTTGCCCTGTGTATCATTACTTTAAAGGCTGTAATTAAAGCAAAATGTGGTTAAACAAACTACTGACACAAAGGGGTGATCTTTTTCCAACTCTTTTTTTTTTCTGACATGTTGGTGTTATATCTTTCACTTGGATGTTATAAGTTGTACTGAGTAAATATAGCTAGATAAAACAAAAACTGTGTCCATCTTCATTTCAGGCTGCAAAGCAACAAAATGTGATTATTTTAAAGGGGGTGATTCTTTCCTATACCCACTGTATGTTTATTTCAACATAAAAAAAAAGAAAAAGAAAAAAACTAATGCCATGATGAGGTATTCTTACACAAGGGGCTGATCCTTTTCCCAACTCAGAGATTCAGGTTTTTTTTTTTCTGACATGTTGGTGTTATATTTATCACTTGGATGTCATAAGTTGCACTGAGTAAATACAGCTGGATAAAACAAAAACCGTGTCCGTCTTCATTTCAGGCTGCAAAGCAACAAAATGTGATTATTTTAAAGGGGGTGATTCTTTCCTATACCCACTGTATGTTTATTTCAACATAAAAAAAAAGAAAAAGAAAAAAACTAATGCCATGATGAGGTATTGGTTCAAAAGTGTAATATGTCCAATAACTTCTGCTGCCATTGGCTTTGAATCCTGAAACCGCTGGCCTGGTGTTGCTGTCCAAAAAACTAATATAAAGAACGGCTGTGCAGCCCTGCAAATATATTCTAATAGTAATTATAATACACTGCATACATTTTGTAAATAGCAAATCCATAGTTGCTGGATAACTAAAGGCAAGGAGGCGTTCTATAATGGTCAAGCAAAATTCAGGCAGTAGTTTGTCAGTCACTGCAAATGATAAACTTGGCCAGTTAGTGTATATGGGGAAAAAGCAGGTCAGATCGTTATACCTAATAAATAAGACATATTTGACATTTTTAAACAAGTGCTGCTGTCTGCATTTCTCTTAGAGAGGAGGATACATGTTTTATGGTTTTACAGAATTTATGTATTAAATGCATTTTTATAACAAAGAGGTCTCTGTCCCTTCCACAGTCCAGCTAGCCTACTTCCAACTAAATCATCAGAGAATTTGTGACCTTTTTCTTCAAATATTCAGCTTGTTTAGGCATACAAGCACGCAAAGGAACACACACACATGTACACACACATACAGTACATTCAGATCCTAATCTAGAAAAATAAATACTTTTGACATAACTCAACAATGTTTATATTAGTTAGGAATAGTTCACAAAAAAAATAGTTCAATTCAGTAAATATCATATATAATGTCATTTAGAATCTGCATGAATTTTTAATGCATTGTAGAATGTCAAGGCTGCTCCATACAGTGAAAGCATTAAGTGTTCATTTTGAAACATTCCTGTCTCCATTCACTTTCATTGTAAGGAAAAAGCAGCCAGGACACTCCACTAAACATTTCCTTTCATGTTCCACAATATAGTCTTACATGTATGGAATGACACACAGGTGAGTCAATAACAAAAGAATTTTACTGTTTTGGGTGAAATTGGTTAAGATTTCTTTACAACAGAACAGCACAACCCAGATGTTCGAATTTGTGCAACGCATTTTATGGACGACAGTTATTTTAACCTAGAAGAGTACAAGGTTGGCTGTGCACAAAGGTTATTTCTAAAAAAAAAAAAATGGGTCAATTCTGACTTTGCTGCGACAATCTGGTGCTTCTGAATCAGCAACTGTAAGTATGTTTTGTTATTAGTTTAAAGGGGTCATATGATGCGATTTCAAGTTCCCTTTCATGGGAACTTCGAACTGCGTCCTAAGCATGTCAACATATTCTGTTACACCAAATACACAAAATAATGATCTTTAAAATAGCATCATATGACCCCTTTATTTGTGCAAGATCATTAGTACTTGTCCCTGAGACCTGTCTACTCTATGTAGGGATTTCATGAACAGGACACTGATACGCCACTGAATCTGCTTTGTGAATTCTCTCAGGTGAATTTAAGCCACTCGTGAAAACGAGTGTTAGAAGTTTGAAACTTCATAAGAACTTTGTCAACTCTCATTCTAATAATCTGTTTGTGTGTATGTGTGTTTTAGCGTAGTTTTGATGTATTCTAGAGTAGCCAATAAAATTCATGTTTCATTTATAAAGAATCTTTGGTTTGGTGTCATATAATTTCCCGGTCAAAACTTTTGCCAAGATCAACGTTACCTCTCTAAGAGCTTACAAATTATCAAAGAACGTATTTATCCGTGGCCAGGAGAATACATAGTCAATTTGTTAAAATATACTGAGGTCACGGCTCGCTGGACGACCCTTGATTTAAAGTGTAACATAACAAATTTGAAATCGGTTTAATCAGGTGAACTTCGGGGATTCAGATCCGAGTCCTATCAAAACCTGAATGAATTAATAATAATTAATTCCCTTACAAATTTAAGTAGTCAAGTTATTTACATCTACACATCATCCTTAAGACTGTGTGCACATCAGGAGTCCATAGTAGCAGGTGAGATGATTGAAGAGCTGAATAACTACCTGAGGGTAATAACCCACGTCTTTCCAGTAAGCAGTCTAAATGAGAGAAAACAGCATTAAGAGTCATCAATCATTTCTATCTCTCTCTCATACACTCTCTCGGGATGTATTCCCAGAGATAAAGCAAGCAAAGCATGTTAGTTTGAGGAAAACTGTTGATGAAGTCACTGTAAAATATGCTGAGTGTACAAAATACCATAATGAGTTATAATGAGAGAGTTAAAGAGCCTTATGGCAAATGCAGGATTTTCATCCAGTCACTGCCGTACCTTGACTCGAGGGTTGAAGTTTCCAATGGGATCGCTTTTGAAATCGCTCTTGTTTTTGTGACACAGCACCGTGGTGATGATGATGATGATGAGGGTCACCACACCGATGGGTGCTAGCACTGCAGCGATGATCCACATGTTGTTGGGTGGATTCTTCACTACGGCTGCATGATGAGAAACACTGTTAGTCACATGAAATCTTTTACATAATAAACTATGATTTTGCAAATTGTGTTGCTTAAATATTTTGACACAAAAATATTTGGTTGTACAACAAGTATTTTGTTAGTGACTTTTTTTAATCCAGGTTAAATAGATATTACAATATTACAATTATTATTTTCTTTTCTTTTTTTAACATTAACAAAATAATTGATGTTTATTAAAACCAAGTATATTTATCATCAAGTCTGTTTTTTTTAAGCATTTTTACATTTAATCAGCTATCATTTCAAACTTCAGATTACATTTCCTTTGTGAACCGAAAATGTAGTTGTTCTTTTTAATAGTCAACTTCTTTTCAGATCATCATTCGGATTATTACATTCAGACCACGACAGGTGTCATGATGGTCACAGACAAGGAGATTTACCTTTGATTCACTAAGCTGATTGCTCACTAAAAACTCACAGATCATGTTTTCAAGTCATTTTGGATTTGATTTTGACTTGACAAAGTTGTATGCTTACTTTTTAATTAGTCTTCCCAATAACACCATTATTTGTTCATTCAGAATTATTGAACATTCAGACTACGCAGAATGTTCACAAAATCAAGAGGTGTGAAGATTTAGCATGTGAACAGATTAATAAACCAATCATAGTGCAATGGAGGCACTGCCTCCTCTCACATGAAATGATGAGTTTGATTTAAGTTAAGTGTTATTGCCAACAATATACAATATGTATCATAATGCTGATTACCACAACAAATAGTTTGATAATATTTTTCAGTGTCTCAGTTGGAAAAAATATCCTTAGTTACATATCTTATTTTTGTAAGTGAATCTGGTAACACTTTATTTTAAAGTGTCCTTGTTACACGTTACATGTATTTACTATTATAAGAGCAATTAATTATGCATAATTACATGCAAGTAACCCTAAATCAAACCCTAACCATATAGTAAGTACATGTGGTTAATTAATATTACTCAGTACTTATATGTATAATTACACTGTAACAAGGACACCTTAAAATAACGTGTAACTATGAATCTTTATCAAATTAAGTAATTCTGCATGTAGTAATATTGCTGTGAGTAAAATTTTGGTTCCACTTTATATTAGGTATCTTTAACAACTATATACTGTAATGTACTTACTGTATGTGAAATAAATGAATGAATGCTAGATGCAATGTACCTATTGTGTTCATGTTGAATTGCAAATCCCATTTGTGCTACTGAGGTGGGATAGTGTTAAGGTTAGGGACAGGTTTGGTGGTTTGAGTAGGTTTAAGGGTGGGTGTAGTGGTAGGGTCAACAGTGTAATTATTGATGTAACTACATAAATTAATTACAGATATTATTTCAGAAATATATATTTTAATTATAAGTGCAATGTAAAAAAAAAAGTGCAGATATGTACACAATAGTGCATTGTATCAAATTATTAATTTAAATGTAAGTACATAGTAGTTAAATACACAAAATAAAGTGGGTCAAAAATTTCGATAATTCTAGTAAAACCTGAAGAGAAAGTAATTTTGACCTTCAGCCTGCAGTTGGACAAAGTATCCCAGCGTGAGTGCCATGGTCTGCGAGTCCACTGTGTTCATAAGCTTGGCTGCAGATGTGCCAAGCAGTGGGGTTCCATTTTGCTGGACGTAGTAGGTCATCTCAGCTGGGTTTTTTCGCCCATGCACACGCCTGATACTAACCATCTGAATGCAATGAAACACAGCTTGATCACTTCCTGTAGACACATTTTCATTTGGTAAACCTTAAAAGTTGAATATTTTCCATCAAATAATCTACAGGAGGGAGACTGGGGTGTGTGGTTACACTACAAGGTTAATTAATTAGAAATGAGCAACAGGGGTGAAATCACTATCATACACAAATCCCTTCTGAGGTAACAGAAGAAGTCAAATTACTTCTGGAAAACAGATTCACATAACCTAAGTAAGAAATGACTAAAGTTGGGTCCAATCATGAGTCCTTTCTTATGGCATATTTTTTACAGAATTATTTATTTGTTTGCAATTAAGTTGCTTAACTAGCACTTCCAATTTTGTTAGGTCGTACCTGGACAGTGTAACTGCCCACCGTTGCTGCCCGCTTGAAGCGAACGCCTTGCTGGTGGGCCACCATGAAGAGCTCAGCCAACCGTTCCTCCATCAGACTAGCAAAACTGTGGTACTGTCCTTCCAGAGAGGAGTTTTCCACATCCTGAATCACTGCAGAGACGTGGAGAGATGTTAAATGAAAGGTTTTTTTTTTAACTCTGGCACTTAAAGTCCACTGTTTAACAGAGTTTAGCTCCAACTCTTATCAAACACACTTGAACAAGCTAATCAAGGTCTTCAGGATTACTAGAATATTACAGACAGGTGAATTTGCTCAGGGTTGGCGTTAAAATCTACGGGATGATAGAACGCAAGGACCAGAGTTGCTGCTGAACCACTGCAGTCTTGCGCACACTAATTACTTCTCAATGATGTAGAACTTTGTCAATATCAGGGGAAGTCCTGAGAAACCTCAAAGAGTTCCTGAGAACTAGCATTACTAAAGACGCTCAAATCTGGATTAACTATGAATAATCAGACAGTACTGTATAACTGGTTCAATTATACTGAGACAGCACAGAAGATTGATGTGTTTGATGTGTTTATAAAGAAAAGAAAGCAATATAAATTATCTCATCTTGGCATAGAACAGCAGCATGTTATTATACAAACCCACTGGAGCAAATTGTTTAAGTATTTGTCATGCGTAACACAAATGTGCGTAATATATCACAACAAGACAAAACATCTTCAATTAGTCTGTTTATTTGTGAACTCTCGATTTATACGTGAACTTTCCTGCCATCTAGCTTTTGGAATTGTGTGCTAATAGTTAATTATGTGAGCTTTTAGGAATATATAAGCATGTACTATAGATGATCTTAAAGTAAACAGACACAAAGTAAAAATCACAAAACCAATTATGATTTTACACCACATCACTCCATTCTTCCTCTGAATTAAGCTCTTTCACTCATATGGCTACTAATGAACAACATCAATAAGACGATTACCTGTGATTATCCAAAATGGCCTGGTTACTACAGATGTGTTAAGGTTGTGGTATTCCAGAGCTGCAGAGGAAAGATAGTGAGAGGGAAGAGAAAGAAAACAAGAGAAACTTGTAGAGAGGGAGAATAGATAAGGAATCTTGTTTCCAAAGACATTGCTTTGATCCTTGGTCCAGAGGCTTAGCTGAGCACATCTACTCTCCAGCAGACAGTACAGAGAGTCTAGCCGCATTTCCCAAATGAAACCTTTACTCAATTGCATACTGGCAGTGTGATTAAAGGCTCTGGCTGACATCCTGTCTTCAATGTAGTGCTTAAATATAAAATAAATGTTAATGATTTGTCATGTCATTATTATTCATTTTAATCCATTTGCCTGACCAAAACGATAATGAAACCAGTGATGAAAATACCAAAAACACAATTTTTTCTATTTTAAAATGTATTAACATCTGTTCATTTAAACATGTATCAAATATGTTATGGACAAACATACAACAAATTTAGAATGTATGCATGTATTTATTTATTTAAGAAATATTTGCAAACTTCATTTGTTTTAAGCATTTTAGGCACTTAGTCAGTGATCCTTGGTCCAGAGGCTTAGCTGAGCACATCTACTCTCCAGCAGACAGTACAGAGAGTCTAGCCGCATTTCCCAAATGAAACCTTTACTCAATTGCATACTGGCAGTGTGATTAAAGGCTCTGGCTGACATCCTGTCTTCAAGGCAGAATCACTAAGCAGCCTGTAAAATTTCAACAGCTGTTGAATTACTTTACTCCATTAAAGTCTACTAAGGTCTAATCTGAGGAACAGCAGCCTAAGTGTTTTGACCAGTATTTCATCATATGGTAAAAAATGTACAGTACTGGTGGTGAATAAACGGAAGTCCATGGACCGAATTCGTGACAGATAATCACAACCGTGCTAATATTCTGAACAACAGCACAATTGCTAGCCTCATATTGCTTTTATGCAGCAGTACAATAAATACGAAGTTAAGATTTAGCAACCTATGTCACTTTAGACATAATATTGCCAGTTACTTTGTCTTTTTTTTTTTTTTTTGCTCTGTCAACAAAAATAGTTCCAAACAAGTAGAATCAATTGCATGTCTCAGAGCAACATGTAGTAGTGGTGTTTCAGTATCCTGTATGAATAAGCGTTGTCAAATGAATCTGTTAGGTACATGACTCAATGACTCTGAAATCTGAATATCCCTATTTCCCTACAATTTAGTATCTGAAAAGCAGTACTTGAAATGTGCATGAGTGATGTGATTGATGTTGTTGGATTAGATGTACTGTCTAGAATGAAATTACTACACACATGCATGCCTTTTAGAATGCACTTTTTTAACAGTCTCAAATTAAATTCTTCAACAAATGTAGTACATACTTACGGACACACTCCGTTAACACTGAGTTAAGACAATGGAGGATGTGTATTCTCAGAACAGATGTGCAAAAAGTGTCAGGTGGTCACTGGGGTGGTACCCTCAAAAAGACATATTTAAACCTTCAAAGGTTCATATTGCTACTCTAAGGTACTAATATATACCTTTTAAGTTGTTCCTTTCTGGAACAAGGGTTCTGCCCAAGGGACAAGCTGTTGTACCCCTAAAGGCACAATTTTTGCACATTTTACTTGATACTTAGATGCATTCAAATGTATTCAGTTGTTACATATGCCACAGTGTGTAGTGTATCATCAGTGCTGGGTAGATTTAAAAATTGTAGTCCGTTACAGATTCCAAATTACATGACAAATAGTCATAATCCATTTCATTACACATTTTCGGTAATGTAATAAGACTACTTTTTGATTACTTTTGAGCTAACTTGTTTATCACATTGATTTAAATAGGACAATATTGTACCAGATTGACATAAAAATACAACATGAAGTCCATTCAACATTACATTACATCAAGGTTTCCCAAACTGGGGTTCTTTAAGGAAGTGCAGGGGGTTCATGAGTTTAATGAAAAGCTAATAATTAAAGTCCCCATGAAATCAAAATTAAAGGTTTTTGGGTGTTAGTATCAATAGGTTAGTTTTAAGGTTATCTATAAGGCAGTGTGCTCCAAAACAGTGACAAAATTCGGATTTAGAAGATATAAGCATTCAAAGCTTGCAGTTCGTGACTTCCGCCAATGTTTAATATTCAAGTTTTTAAAAAAAAATCAAATTCAGAACTATGTTAAATGCCACATAATATTCAGTTTTGTTAAATGACATTTGTCAATAATTCAAATTTACACAATACAAATTCAATTTGTTTTGTCATATTATAAGCTCCATAGAATAGCTCTCACCATCACATTACAGTTGCTTGTGGAGCCATGTTCTTTCCATACAGACACACACACAAGCGTATCTGGGATTCCCTACTGTTAATTATTTTTCCCTGGAATTGGCTTTGATGTGCATGCTGTGCCCTGGCCCATGTATGCATGAACCTGTTTCCGCCTCCTGTGAACACTACAAACCAAACAGAAACCACTTCCTCTCTCTGGTAGAGAATCATCTATCTTATTTTCACTGTAAAATGTTGATGATCATGTCTGAAAAAAAAACATATTTAGCATTAATGCTGTTTATATGTTTGTTTGTTTTTCAGATTTATAAATATGAACAAAAAAATAACCATACTGAATCATACTCAACTGAATTATATAACCATCTTTATTATTTATTACATGTCAATTCTGCATACTGTACCAACACTATTCCCAAAAGGAATATAAAAGGAAATAAAAAGTGTAACAATTGCATATGTTACATCCTATTTGTATAACTGAGGAATCCCAGGGAGAACTTACGCTCAGCTGTGATCAGTGGAGGGTAAAACAGGAAGTAACCAACAAGCTCGGCAGTCAGTTGGCTGAGGAGGTTACTGGTAGTTGTGCCATTGAGAGTGACACTGCCATTATGCACCACATATATCAGCGATACAGCAGGAGAACCCATAGACTGTGATGTGCTCAAGATCTGTGAGAAAAAAGGAGTGAGAAACAGAAAATTTGACAAAGAGAAAATGAAAGGGTTATATTATATTGTGCTCAGACTGACCTTTTACCAGTTAAAAATCAACAAAATGTAATTATAAACACACACACACACATACATATATATATATATATATATATATACACTGAACAAAAATATAATGAAAACCGGGATTCATCCGTGAAGAGAACACCTCTCCAAAGTGCCAGACACCATCGAATGTGAGCATTTGCCTACTCAAGTCGGTCACGACGAAGAACTGCAGTCAGGTTGAGACCCCACTGAGGACGACGAGCATGCAGATGAGCTTCCCTGAGACGGTTTCTGACAGTTTGTGCAAAAATTATTTGGTTATGCAAACCGATTGTTGCAGCAGCTGTCCGGGTGGCTGGTCTCAGACGATCTTGGAGGTGAAGATGCTGGAT